TCCTCCTCCCCCTCCCCCTCCTCCTCCTCCTCCTCCTCCTCCTCCTCCTCTCCCTCCTCCTCCTCCTCCTCCTCCTCCTCCTCCTCCTCCCGCCTCCTCCTCCTCCGCCTCCTCCTCCCTCGGCGGCCCCCAGCCGGAGGCTGCTGCGCGGCCCCGACTCGGAGGGCTGCTAAAGGTGCCCCTTGGCCCAAGGTGGCCCCAGCTTTTTGTTCGCTCGGTGCGAAGGATTGCAAAAAAACCCTGAACGAAGGATTGCAAAAAACCAAGGATTGCAAAAAAAAAACCAGGATTGCGAACAAACCCAGGGTTTTTTTGCAAACCAGGGTTTTTTGAGAACCCTGGGGACCTCTGAGCCTCGCGAGGGGTGCTCTAAAGACAGCGGGGGCCTCCTTGGAAATGGGGGCACCTTGGGCCGGCTGCACTTCTGGCAACACCCGACCCAGGGCTGCCTGGCGGCGCGCACCAGGGAGCAGGGGGATGGGGAAAGGCTTCTTAGAGGGCTGTTTCTTAGAAGGCGCCAGCCCCACATCTACAGGGAAGGCCCGCGCCGACTAAGAAGCAGGGGTGCTTCTAGGAAGCCTTCCCCCCTCCCTCTACGTCCGTCTGTGGCCGACCTTGGTCACGTCAAGATTGGTCCCAGACGGCGCTGGCGCGAATCGTGACGTGACCAGCCCAATCCCCCCTCCCCCTCGTTGAAGCGGATGTGCGCCCATGGCATGAGCACCCTCAAGAGTATCCGATGGCATATCCCGGTGACCAATCAAGTGGCCTACGCCCACGCGGCCATGGCCCATGGGATGGGCCCGAACGACCTGTCGGTCGGTGGAAGACTGCGTGCCGGCGCGAGACGAGCACATCGAACCCCCCCTGGTTACGCCCGTTCTGGCCAGGGGATAAAAAAGGTCTCTTGGAAGGCTGGCAGCTACATGCGAGGAAGGGCCACAGAGAAAACTTGCCACGGCCCTGGCGCACAGTCGGGGCGGCTTCGACTGGGCCGAGCGCCCGCAGCCACCGCGCGGAGCCTCGGGCTGCGCAGCATCCGGCTCCCGCCGGGAGTATCTGTTCCTCTCGGCTCGGCGGCGAGCCCGGGGGGGGGAACGAGAGGGGCAGGCCTTCTCGGAAGGCGGCGGGGCTGCTCAGAAACCCTCGCGCCTTCTGAGAAGCCGTCTGAGAGGCAGGGCATGCTTGCGCGTGGCCGAACTGCGGGAGGAGGGCAGAGCAGCGCCGGAGCGTCCGGAGCGCCGGGGCGCACCACCCGCAGCACCGGCGAGCCCGCCCTGCGGGGGCGGCTGGCCGGCGCTGGTGGGCAGCCCTGGGAGGAGACGGGGCACCGGGTGGCCTGGGCGGCTCTTCAAGTGGCGGTCTCTCGCCCCTGCAGCTGGAGGGGCTCAGTGCAGAAGGAGCAAGCCAAGACAGAAACCGAGCACTCCGCATGGGCTTACTCCGCAGGAACTTAGCGTCCGGTCATCCTACCAGGAGCGGCTGCAGCTGGACCTAGGACAGAAGAACGGCCTTCGAGAACACCAGACCCTCCGCTGGCCAAAACTCACAGAACATCAAAGGGTGCCCTCCCCCAGGCCACACCAGAGCACCCAACAAGCACGGAGAGCATCAGGGCACCCTCCCAGAACCGACCTCGACCTTATGCCTCGGTCCGACGGTAAGTCCAGACGGAGGAGCGCGTTTCTTTATTTTCCCCGATAATGGGCATTGCAGGGGGGGGCGGGAGGCCAGGGGGGGGGTCTAATGTAACGCCTCCCCCCGCCGTGCGCACGGCGGCAGTGCCCGGAGCGCCCTGGAGGGGGGGGAGGGGCGTTACGTTATATGCGAGGCGGGGATTTATCCATATCCACCGCCTGGGAACCGACGTCTGGTGCCCCAGCCAGCGGTGGATATGGATATATTTCGGCCCCCAGGGGCCCGAATGTTTCCATATCCACCGCCTGCCGCGGCTCCGAAGACTGACCCTCCAGGCGGTGGTCATGTATAAATTCCCGCCTCGGAGTATAGGGTGGGTGAAGGGGGGGCCGGAGGCTGTAATGCCCCGCATGCCCCAAGCAAGAAAGAAACACGCTCGAGTCAGCCCAGACTCAAGGGGTCCAAGGACACACCAATAAATACGCACACAAATAAAGGATTCACCACATTTTACCATATTTTCTGGGCTCTTGTCTTCCCCCCCACTCCTCACGTTTTCCCATATGTTCTGGGGAATCGACGATTAATTGTGTCTGTGTGTCTTTCCCTCCTTACAGACGCAGATGTGGACGCCCGAAATGGGTATACGGAAAAAAACTGTACAATGCCCAACAGCAAATGTTGACCCAAACCAACAGCGGCCGCTGTTGGGCAGGCGGCCTCCTGTCTCGAATGGACACAAGCCGCGGCGGCGCGGACAGCGAGTCCTGTTCAAAATGAACAGAAACTGCTGTTGGGCATCGTACCCCTTCTTTCCGTACCCGTCTCGGGCGTCCAGAGCAGACCTCGGGGATGTTCTGACCCGGGTCAATCCAGACCCGGGTAAGCAAGAACCAAAAAACTGCAATGCAGGAAAAAAAACTGCAGCGCAAGTCTTCGCAAACCCGGGTCAACCAATGTGCGCGGCCGCCTCGCGGCCACGAACGGCTCGCTGGCCCGGGTCAGCCAGAGGGGGTCTTCGCAGTATCCTGCAGGATCCGGTGCCCTGGCTGACCCCCGTTTGCACTGACCCCCGTCTCAAAGCTCACGATCTGGAGAAGTGAGCGCGGCGCCGGTGCGAGAGCGGCACGGACATTGCGAGCCCTCGGCCCCAAGAGGTTCCCCAGGAGGCCCCAGGAGGCCCACGAGGAGTCCCCAGGAAGCCCGGAGAGGCCCCCCAAGAGGCTCCCAAGAGGCTCCTCCTCCTCCCTCCTCCTCCCTCCTCCTCCCTCCTCCTCCCTCATCCGCCTCCTCCGCCTCCTCCTCCTCCTCCTCCTCCTCCTCCTCCTCCTCTCCTCATCCTCCTCCTCCTCCTCCTCCTCCTCCTCCTCCTCCTCCTCCTCCCCCGAAGACCGAGCCCTCCGTGCGGACCCGGGCGACGCGCGGCGCCGAGGGGCGCCCGATCCGCGGGGGGGCGGGGCGGCGCGGCGGCGGAGGCGCCCGGCGGGTCTGCCACGGCCGCGGAGGGGGGGGGCCCTCGCGGGCCCCACTGAAGGGGCCCTGGGACACACATAGAAATACACGCTCCAGTCGGAGCGTTGACCTTAAGGAACCCTGAATTAAGGAACGAGGCCCCTGAATTAAGGAACGAGGCCCCTGAATTAAGGAACGAGGCCCAGAATTAAGGAACGGGGCCACGAACCTCGATTGCCCATCGAAAACATAAGAAAAACCTGGGGCAAGCTATGAAACAATCAAGGAACACCGAGCCCCTCCCCAACGAAAAGGGTTCCTTCTTCAGCGCCTCGACTGTAATAAGAGGATTCCCCACATTTTCGTATACTTTTTGGGGCTCCTGTCTTCCCCCCCACTGCCCATATGTTCCCCTATGTTCTGGGGGATCGACGATTCATTGTGTCTGTGTGTTTTTGTTCCTTCCTGATTCAAGATTGACCTCCAAGATTTCTTGCGCGGCTGAACTGTTCGGGCCGGGCGAAAGGGAGGGATAGCACAGGGGGGGGTGAGAATCAGCTTGCGTGGCTGATTTTCCTGGCGCCTCCCGGCGCCCATGCATCGAGGAATGGAACCCTCGGTGGGGCCGAAACCAGCTGCATGCAGCAGATTTCGTAACCCCCCCTTCCCAATCCCCCCCTTTCGGTCGGCCCGAACTGTTTGTGGGAAGATACATACTGGACAGAGTAGCGATGACTGCGAGGTACTTGTATGCGCCGCCCCTCCAGTGTCGGTCATCATCGACCTTCCGAGCCGTTCCCGGTCAGACCACCTGCGCCCTGGCCCCGACATTGGAGGGGCGTCTATCAACGTTGAAGGGGGGCTCGGTTGGCTTGCGACCGAGCCTAGAGCAAAAGAGCGTCCCTCAAGGGCAGGAGACACTTCGCCGGCCGAAACGCACAGAACATCCATCCAAAGGGTACCCTCCCCAGGGTGCACAAGAACATCCAAGAAGCACGAAAAGCATCAGGGCACCCTCCCCGAACCGACCTCGATCATGTACCTCGGTCCGACTGTACCTTCACCGTGGGAGGAACTGTCAGACCTTGATGTGGTGTGGTCGCTCGCAGCTCTCGCCTGGGGTGGGATTCGTTTTTTCCCCAGCGGGCCGATGGCGGTGGGAGTGAACAGTCGATGAATGACAGCGTTCAAGAGGGTTGTAGATAAAAACTATGTATACTTCAATGCGTGGCAACTCTCGCCTGGGGTGGGATGGCACGAGAGCCCAGAATCGAATCGATAAATCGGATCGGCGATCGACATGAATCGGATCTGCATAGATCGGCAGCCGAGTCGGGAGAAGTCGAATCAGCGAAGATCGGCAGGCTAGCAGGCCTTCATTGAGAAATCGGAATCCAAAGCAGAATCCGAAGTCAAGTCGAATCAGAATCGGAAGCCCTCGAAATCGAATCGAATCGAATCAGAGGTTGCGAATTGAGCCCTCGGGTTGGCGGGCATGGTTGAGCGCGCCGTCCTGCTCATTCGGGTCGGGGTGGTGGCGGGCTCGCTGGAGGTAGTCCTCCACTGGACATCTCCCATCTCTCGCTCGGTCTGCCGGGGAGCGCTGGGCCCAGCCTGGCGGAAGGCCCCCGGGGTGCTGCGCGAATGCCTCACGGGGTCGCGGACGGAGTCGTCACTGCACCGACCTTGCAGACGTGCCGCAGCGGATTTTCGCGTGGATTCTTGTCAGTGCAACACCCTGAAATGGCGAGCGAAAAACAACGTGAATTTCGCGTGGATTGTTGTAGTCTTCATTTCTGGCCCAACAACAAAAAAACGCAGGAACTTCACTTCGAGACCCCGAGCACAATTCTCTGGGACAATCCTGGCCTATCCAATTTTTTTCCGAGCGAAATCCGCTCTGCGATGTTGGCGCAATGAGGAATCGACCTGGAGGGCCCAGAGGGAAACGGAACAGGTGGCCTGACCTGCTCCGTCCCCCGTCCAGTGCCGCACTCGGCGGAGGCGGTGCTCGCGGCCCTGCGTCGAGCATCGTCTGGCCTTTCGCCAGGGTCAACATCAGCCAGGACCCCGCCCCTGGGGAGCTCGCCCTGCGCGGCTTCTCTCGCGCGAAGCCGCGGGAAGCGGAGGAGGAGGAGGAGGAGGATTTTTTTTGCTCGAGGGCAGAAGCAGAAGCGATAGCCTTCTGACGTGGCTAGCGCCGATACCCTGCAGCCTATAAATCTGCAGGGGTGCGAACGGCAGGCGATTCAGAGGCCGATGCCCTTGTCCTTGCCCTTGCCGACGCGCCCAAGCGGCTCGAAGCCCGACCTACCCATGCCAATGTTGACCATGGCGTAGGAGCCGCGGGGCTTACTCTTGCCACCCTTGCCCAGGCTGGGCTCGTTTTTCATGCACTCGAGGGGAGCGGAAGCAGCCGACGACATGTACTCCTTGAGCACGCCCTTGCGCTGCGACTCTCGCACAGCGTCTGTGTCCTGCACCGCCTGGTCAGTCTCGAGCGCCTTCTTGGGAATGGGGTTGTCGATGGTCTCCAGCTCCTTCTGCTTGCCCTCGAAACTCAGGAGGGTGGAGGTCCGCTGGTCCATCAGGTTGAAGGTATCGTGCACCACCTTCTCGATCTTCTCCTTGTCCCCATCCCCGTACTTGTAGTGTGGATTGTCGCAGCCCTGGTCCGAGTCCGTGCAGACAAGGTTGGACCGGTGCTCGTCTTTCTCATCCGAGGGGCCCTCCGTGTCGGACAGCTCGGATTGCTTGCGCCCGCGCCTGCGGCCGCGCTGCCGGCGCCGCTTCTCCGCGACCGGCAGGCCAAGGACGCCGGCGCCCTTGCCAATCTCGGCGTGGGCGGCGAGGTTGCGGTCCAGGCGGACCGCGCCTGGGACGGGCTGTCCCGCGACCTGGAGCGAGAGCGCCCGCTCGATCGCCAGGAGCCGCGTCGCCACCTGCTGCTCGCCCGCCTCGTCGAGCGGTGTCTTCTGGACGTCCTGCTGCAGGCCCAGCAGGGAGGCGACAGTGCGGAGGGCAGCAGCCACGGCCGCAGCCACACTCTGCCGCCCGCCTCCGCCCTCCGCCGCGCCTGCCGCCGCCGCCCGAGCCAGTAAGGCAAGGGCCGCCACCTGACCCGCGCTCGGGGGCGAGGGGACCGTAGCCATTGCCAGGGCCGCAGGACGAGGGGACTGAG